TCACATGTAGATCATTAGTATTCTGCATATCCACAGCTTTGAATCTGTTTAATAATTATTAAATAATTCCACTTTGCTGAAATATATATCATTGGCCTACCAGTAATAAGATTAAATTGTGTGTTATTAAAAATGCATGTTTTTATAATATTGCATTTCTATGTTGTTGGTTGTTGCTACTCGTGACTTTACAAACAATACAAATTTTCGAACTGCCTATGCTTTGCAACTGTGGTGACTTCTAACCTGAATTTACAAGCAATTATTGTAAATACTAGAATTCTGTTATGTTAAAAAAAATTGCATTGCAATTTGTACAACGAAACTTTTGTGTTATTGAAAACATCTTCACCAATTTTGTTTTCAAAACCATGTCCATCAATAGATTTATTTTACAATTATTGACTGGTTAAAGTGGTTAATTCATCAAATTGACAGACATCTGTCATTGTACATAAAATGTTGAAGGTATGTCTCGTTTTGAAGTGTTAAAACCGCTCATTGGTAATATGCTTGCATGCGTTTAGCAAGGTGTTGATATGGGAATTTGATTGTCACCTTCATTATTCAATTACAGTAATGTCCCATGTGACCATGTAATCAAAATGTACTTAGTTGATTAATGCTGTTTAGTATTATGCTTAGTTACAACTTTTTTAATAATGAATTGTGTGAAGGTGTGCTTCCTAAGGTTATTCTATTTATTGTAAGCTTAGAACAGCATGGACTGGTATTCGTATTGATTAGGATATAAATCGATCTGTCAAATGGTTCTATCAATACTATAATAGGCTATAAGATATAGGCCACGCTCTAACTAAACTTAAACTAATAATGAGAGAAAGTGAATTAGGCTTGAGTGTAAGTCACTAAGTTTTCCTTTATGGAGATAGACCAGGTTTGAAATTCGCTATATATTAGTGTATTGTTACAAGACTTGCATTTTTATGCTGAAAAGTCAATTTTTTCTGTCTTTGATTTCGATTGTCTTCTTTATCAAAAGTCTTAACAATGTCACAAGATATCACTTTCAAATTTGATTACAAAAATTTTATTAGAATTGAGCTTAAATAATTACAATAACTACGGTATATGGTGTCAGACAGGAAAATCAGAACTTGTTATTTCGGCATTAGAATAGTAAAATCAGATGATCATTATACTGTATTTAATTATCCATTATCAATTGTATCAGAATTACCTACACGCCTTAATAAATAGCCAAATAAAATACTTTTTTCATATATTCTGGTATAATGTGAAACACTGAATGTATTCTCCATTGGTTCCAGTTAAATGGATAAATTGTTGGAAATCATTATAAATTAGTGTAAAAATTGAAGTTACCAATGTAGAACATTTTATTCTTCTCTTGTTTATGTGTATAGACAGAATCGTTTTTATAGTGTCATAACTTAATTGAGTCTGAGACTTGTCTGACAATCAGATGTCAAATCACCTGTTCAACCCGATATCATTGAAAAAAAAAAATTTGTTTTGAACTCAATTTCAGATTGTTATATTCTCCCTTAGTTGGTTTTCATTGCTTTCTAATCCCTATTCTTGGATGTGTTGATATTACAAACAACAGTGTCAGTTATGAGGAAGATATTTGCCGCACCCATGATTTTTATCTCGATTCATCTATCCTGAATTTGATATTATCTTTAATTTAGCAGAAAATTGTAACATATTCTTCGTTGCCTGTTTAGATGTGTGTTATATCAGTCCGCAAGTTTCAAACAGTACATATTTTAAATAAGTACCATAATAATAAAATTTTATAAACAAAATTTAACCAATTTTATAATTTTTTTTCCAATCTCGTGTTAACTAACTACCAGTATGGTGTATCAAGAATGAGTTGTTCATAGGCAGTTGAAGAATTTCACATGGAAAGTTTATGATGATACCTGAATCAGATAGAGATCTCCTGTCCAAAACAATATTTTTTAAAAGCATAGAAATGATAGAATCAATTCAAAGACATAGCAAAATTCGCTATAGTGATTCAGAATTTTTTCAAGTTCATTAATAGAATATTTTGAAGTAGGAATAAAAATGTTAGATAGTAAAAATTGAATGTTTTATCATTCAGGGATGTTTAAAGAAATTATTAAATTATTATTATTAAAGTTAATTATTTCTGTACTATCCGATTATTACTCTACAATTCTAGAACATTAATAAGCTGTTTGAATAGGAAAAACCCTTGTTACAACATATAAATTTACTCTGAACTAAGACGCTATATTAACAGACATATTTAGTTACATTAACCAATGTCGACCCTTAACCTGTTGTTGCAAATTTGCCTAGTTTTTTTTTAAATGCTTATTTCTATTATTGTTGTGTGCTTTTTATATGGAGGATGCAGGCATACGCAAAAGTCATTCACCCAGGGTTCAGTTTTGAAGACCAGTATCACTCGGAAATTACCACTGTTTGTCTTCAATTAAACAATTTCCGTTATGCTTGGATAACCCGGTAAATCAAGAGTTCACGCTTGTGTCACTTTCTATTCTTTTCAGTTAAATATAACCTCGGATATATGATATCAATTTCAAATCATTGTGCTGGCTTTCCTATGGAAATGCTTCATATATATATATATATAAATATGCCAGTTATGTTTAGTATAGAGACAAAGGAGCTTCAATAGCATCATATATTTAATGCTTTGAGTTGATGTAGATTGTGATTTATATATAATATTAATAATAACCTATCTGTTATCGAGGAAAAAGAATTTCATTGTAGACTCATTTTTGTTTTAGAATACCAAACGTAGTTGAAATGGGATATGTCAGAAAATTCAAAGGTGTACTGATATAGATTTTGCAGTATACCACCAATCTCAAGAAGCAATTTACCATTCAATTTAGCTGATAAAGCCAAAAACTTTTGTATACTTTTCCTTCATATTGTGCGACTGATTTCAATAGCGCAAAATGATGCTAGTCTCAGAATGCAATGTCCGTCTGTGACCTTTTTTGTATGTCATCTCATCAGCATGTCATGTGATATTAAATTTCTCTTTGTTAATAAATCCCAATATATAATATTGTATGAAGAAATTAGTTTCCATTAATTGGCATTTATGAATATTGGAAAAATTGATAGGGTATTTTTGAACTGAAAATATACTCCATTTTTATATTATTGAACAATTAGGCTAGTTAGTTATTGATACTCAATGCTGACTTGAACAAAATATTATTCAGAACTGTTTCAAGCAACTGCATACTAATGAATATTTTTAAATCTAAAGTATAGCATTCTGAATTCAATCTTTTTTAATGGAGAATTTGGTGCAAATGAATTTGTCTTCACTACGAAGACCTTCACAGTTTTGTGAAATCTAATTTAGGATCTATGATCTCAAATATGTTATCTCTGGAAAAATTGTCATTTTAGATTTATAGGGGTTACTGGATGTGAATGTGGTAAAAGAATCAGGGGGATAAACGGCGGAAGTAGAAGCTTGGGAAGTGATTAATTTAACAATGTGGTTTTCGAAAAATTACTTCGTTATTGCTTACTGGTATAACCTTCAACATTGTTGATGAAAATGGTTGAATATATTAGGTTTATTCAAACTTGGCCCTCGGAGGCCTGCCCCTCTCTGAGCAAGGGGGTTCACACGTTTGAAGTAAATTATCTGTGATTTGGTTTAAACTTTGACCATAATAATATGTGTATTATTTCTCTTTTATTTGTTGACATTTTTATTATTAAACATGGTGCAGAAAGCAAGTGATGAAGACACATTATTAAAAGCAAATCTAGGTAGTTCGATTAAGCTCGCCTATTCAAGATGTTGTATATCAAGTTACTGTGTCATCATCTAGGTATAGAATGTTAGTGAACCATGCAAACACAAAAATGTCTGGCTAGGCAACAATAGTGTTTTCAATGCGTTTTGTTCCAGTCTGCCCCAAGTTATTTCTGTACATCATAGAAAACCCGATTCCCTACTTGAATTTGTCACTAATTTTTTTTATAAATGAATAGAATATCAATATGTTTTATTGTGACACTGCAGGCTTGCAAAGTGACAAAATATAGTCCTGTTTTTTGAACCAGTGATGTGTATGTGCTGATACAGTTTTCAATTCTTTTCTATGTTTCATATTTATTGGAAATATAATCAAACACTTGATTTGGGATTTTGGAAAAAAAGCCTATTGCTTCACTGCATTTGTTTGACAATACACATTTTGAGTAGCTGTTTCAATAATTAATTAAATCTTTTATTCATATGACAGTCCATTAGCTCTTACAAAAAGAATCATTCAAATGATAAATTGGACCATATCGACACCTCAAAACCAAACAGTGCTAAGTCCACTTTTCCAAAAAATGACATTTTCCAATTGCTAATTTTCCTGGACTTAGCTCTACATTTTGGTCTATTTGCCTTATCTCTAGGTGCTTTAGATCTCAAGACAGCTATGGACACAACCCTGCTTTTTTAGGGCATTTGAGAACTAAACAGAGCTGTGTCTACCATAGTGGACTTAGCTCTGGATAACTGCATTGTAAGTTGGGGCCAAGTCCGTTTTTTGGACATAGCTCCTCTCAAAAAAGATAATACAAAGCGCTAAGTCCATACCAGCCTCTATAATAACATAATAAAGGGGCCCTTAGTCCAATAAAATTGTTTCTGGTCCAGAAAATTGAAAGCCAAAAAGGGTTAAATCCAAAAAAAACCTCCCCAAAAAAAATTGGGGCGGAGCACAAATTTTTTTTATACCATCTAAATATGGCCTTCATTGTCACTTTGGTGGACCATAAAAACTAGACATCCTCGATGTAAGGTATTAGAGAAATAAAAAAAAGAAACAAAAAAAAAAACGTTTTTTGCGTTTTTCTCGAAACTAGAAAAATGGACTTAGCCCAATTTGGATTTCATGCATCGATATGTCCATTCCTACTCCTGGCTTAAGCCTCAAGCAGTTTGTACCATTAATGTATGTAATTTTCATTATCTCTGATCCTTTTTGTTATTATTTCCAGTGACTTCCAACTTTTCCATTCCCTTTTATGTAGCAATGAAATGTAGGCAGGTTTTTTGTGTGATATATATTGTGTAGTTATAAAGTGGAGCGCAAACATTTAAAATGTCTCAACAACCCGGATCGCAAGGAATGCCAATGCATTCTGGACAGTTTCCAATCGGAGTTAGCTTGCCGGAAGGAATCTCTGTGAGACCGTATGGAGCTGGATTTACGACTTCAGGGACTCCTGTAAGTTATGAAATATTTTGTTTACTAACTTTCTCAGTAGTAGTTTCCTACTTCAGATCTGCAAGTTTTCATGGTCTTGAAATGCTTTCATTAGCGAGGGCTGGAAGTAATTTACACTGTTATTAAACTACGATAGATGAAATTACAAGCATAAATCTGAAACAGTCATACCACAAAATGCCAATTCCGCAGAATCAAATCTTTTAAATGAAATTATTCATAAATTCACTATATTCACTAATCACTATACAACTACGGTAATTTTTATTGCTTACAAATATTTGATCCATTTTGAACTGATTGACAGGGCATCTCTCACGTACGATAATTGATTTAGGCTGTATAAGGTAAATGTATCTCATTCTCATGCCTACAATTACAGTCTTGTTTATAACAAGCCTTTCACACTTCTCTAGATTTTTATGCCCGATCCTGTTCGTCTGGCACATGCTCAGAACCCACTCATGAACCTAAGAGATTTCCAAGCGGGTCAGTTACCACCTGGTCTACTTGTTGGACATCAGTCCATGCACCATCCTGGACTCACAGCAACGTCCAGTGGAGACCAATCGAGGAATGCTGGCTCCATGTCATCAGGGTTACCACATAATTACATGTTTTCCCCGGGAAATGTAAGTATGATTTTATCAAATATGATTGGCTCTGCAAACTCTTTCCGACTTTAATATCACTGTGCTTATTTGACAAAGTGTACAAAGTTTTGTTATTATGTTATATGTTGTTCTTGTTAGTTTCGTCTTCTTGTTGAGAAAAAAATGCTTCTTTCTTTTTTTTACTGGATCATTGTATTTGTTGCCAGAAGGCTTTTACTTTTATCTATTTTAATATTTCTGTGGGCTCTATGGCAGGGTTCTCAACCTGGGGTTCGTGAACCCCCAGGGGTTCACGAGAAGATTTCAAGGGGTACTTGGATGGCAGTCAAATAAATTGTCAGTCAATATATCACAACTTTGTTTGGTGTCTGATTTCATAGGGGTTCGCGTTGATTGTTTCGTGACTCGAGGGGTACTTAACAGAAAAAAGGTTGAGAACCCCTGCTTTATGGGATTCATTTTTTTGTTTTCGATGACGCCATATGAAAATTTTTCCACCTTGTGGGTTGTGCCTGTACGGCGTTCGCTGTTATCTGGTGGTCAGACAAAGTCATGAAGACTGTGTTACCAGTAGTCTGCTGTGACAGATTGCATACCTATACTACTTGTTTTGGCCTTCATGTCCATATATTTGAGCATTGCTCTCTGGTTTTACAGATGTTATAATAGCTTTGTTTTTTTGAACTTTCAAAAGTCACCCCTTCAAAGAAGTTTTCATACATCACAGTCGATTGGCTGCGAGCTCTCACACGCCTTATTTTCTGATGCTTGTCAGTATAGATGCTTCACAAATATGTTTTATTTTGTGTTCACAATATTTTACTACATTTATTGCTTTTTAGAATCAGACACCTGACAGTAGTACTGAGACTGGTTTACAGACACCAATTTCTCGATCTCATTCAACACAGCCAGGTGAGATAATAGGCCTACTGTGCGAATATTCACAACTTAGCATAAAATAATCAACTAAAATTAACATTGAAAAAACATTGATAAAAGTGCAAATGGACTATTGGTCAAATGCACATTGACATTATATCATTAAGTTTTTTCTTGTCAAAATTTAGTGTTTACTAAAATTTCATTTTCATACAGAGGCTAAATACATGGTATGTTTGAAAAGTTTGTGAATCTTTCTGTTCTGATTTTATAACCCATCTTGGCATTACTTATCCCTGAATCCTATGAAGATTTTATATCCCCCATCACGAAGGATAGGCTAATTATATATCCAGAAATCGCTTTTCCGGTGGCCTAGTGCTTAAAGTGCAAGACTTTAGCGTAAGACCGGATCGATATTGGGTTCAAATCCCATGCCTGCCACCTCACAAAGGGGGAAAAGATTGGGTAGACAAACAACTTTCGAATCTTCGTAGGCTCTTATCTAGCTGTGGCTTCTTGTACAGAGTATTCTTTGGAACAAAATGCATATCAATTCATCATTTAAAAAAATTATAGACTTATTTGTTTTTGAATTTTTAACTGAAGACACGTATTTTTGTGTTATAGATATGATGATGCCTGGAAATATTACGATAAAACAGGAGGTTGTATCTCCTCCTGTATTGTCATCTTCTAATGATGGAATGGGAAACCAGCTATTACAATACAATCAACTCTCTTCAAGCGATGGAAGCCAATCTGCAACTAATCTTGAGAGTGGAGGAATGTTTTCTACTATGTCCAGTATGGCAATGGCTAAACACATTTGTGCTGTTTGTGGCGACCGCGCATCCGGAAAACATTACGGTGTTTACAGCTGCGAAGGATGCAAAGGTCAGTTAATTATGACTTATTAAGAAGAGAAGAGACATTTTTTCCAGGTTAGCCAGCTGTAATTAGCTGTAATTTTATGGGACATATCCATATGCCTTTTACTCCAAACAAGTCTCTGCACAAGCAGCCACTGATATGTAAGAAGCTACCTCATTTTGGACTAGAATTATAGTGCTGCTGGTTTGTGACTTTCTCTTCTGATATTTTGTGTTTTGCTTGCTCAACGAGCTATGCAGGAAGAAACAAATGACTGCATTTGTAATAATATTGTCAAATTCTCTTTCCATTTATTCCTATCTAAATGAATGTGTGAAATGTTTGGAATGTGATTTTCTACTTCATTAATCATGCAAGACAGACAATTCTTGCTTTGCTAAACATGGAATGTTTCATTTGTATTTTCTGTCAATAATATTATGCAACCACTGTAGGTGATAGGCTTCATTTTCTCAAATCCTATGATTCAAATAAACTAAATATTATGAATGGAATGTATCTTGGAACATAATATAATTGCTTTCATAATGTGAACATTTATAAAAAAAGACATAAAGGTAGGATTAGGGAGTGTAGGAAAGTCAAAATAGGCATTGTATTATTATTAATACAATTTCTTACTACAGGTATTTGAAGATAATGAAACATTTTTGGTTTTGAAAACTTTCTGGCAATTTTTTATTTCTAAAATCCCAACTATATCAAAACTAATAATAGATTCATTTTTACCATTCTTTGTTTACCACTTTGGTCCTTCCAGACTGCTTTGCCACTGCCAATTTGTGACATGAATGATGAATGTGTTACCCATACAGCTATCATAATTCAATTATCTCTGAACACGTGTCTGGTTAATTGTCTTGATTAAAAGTTTTGATCATGCTTTTCAAACTTCTTTATCCCTTGTGTATTTGATTGCTCTGATGGTAGACATGTAGGTCATGTCTTATAGTAAACCAATTATTGATGTACCATGAAATGTCAAAATGTGGGCGATGGAAAATATATTTGATATTTCTGCTCATTTTCACAACTGTTTTTAAAATATTTATAAGCTTTTAGTTTCATTTTTGTGCTAAATGAAAAATTCTTAGCTTTACGTTCATATATTTTGCAAATTTCTGTTCTGTTTTCAAAGAATTTATTTGAATATTTGAAAATATTTTTAGGAATTATGATAACGATATCATTTGCTTTCATTCAAAATTATCCAATAAAAAGTTAAATAGGTCAAATTTTCAGTAGAAATATACATTTATTATATTCAAAATAGAAAAAAATCAATGAACAGAAATTTAGAATTTCAAATTGGATTAATTAAAAATTAACCAGAATAATTAAAAATCATCTTTGTCATATCAATTGATAACATTTTCAATGCTAGGCTCTGAACAAGGCTCCAAACTACTGATATGTATAGACCACAATCTCTCTGATGCAGCATTGCTCACCCACTTTATTAGACCATGGGTGGGGGGTTAAGACATTTGGTTTGAACCCAACATGTGTGTAACATGTAATGTTTCAACCGAGTGGTTCTCAGCTTTTTATGGCGCATGGCCCCCTTCCAGAAAATTTTAGCACTCATGGCCCCCTGTTTATAATTCCAGTGATATTTATAGTTTTGTTTTGATCGATAGATTCCAAATTCAAGTATGTTTAAACAATTCACGCTCAACAAAGTGAAAACACTCTGTCAAATAATCTTATCAAGCAATGAAACTAGGAAAAACGAGAAGTTTTCTTGTAAAGGGAGTAGTAGAATAAGTTTTTCCGCTAGCATTGTGACCTCCTCATCATTTGCACTGCATCACCTGATCAATGTGAAATTGAACGTTTGTCCAGGAAATTAGGAATTGGTATGACCAAATTATCACCTACTATTTATTCTTGCAGGTTTTTTCAAGAGAACAGTTCGGAAAGATCTGACATATACATGTCGAGACAACAAAGACTGTGTGATTGACAAGAGGCAGAGAAATCGATGCCAATATTGCAGATATCAAAAATGTCTATCAATGGGAATGAAGAGAGAAGGTGAGAAAGGTGTAGGAAATACTGTCTCATTTTAAGTTATTCGTAATGGGTTGTTTTTGTCACCTTGTAAATAAATCTAAATCAGTATTTCCCAACATGTGTTTGATCGAACCCCTGGGGCTTGGTGTAGCTGTTCCAAGGGTCAACGAAAGTTCCATGAAATAGTTTTTTTCAACTCAACTTTCAACTTTTCCAAACTTGCAATTTTTGCCTTATTAGTCTTTCCCCTTACCAGCCGCACAAGTTTTTTTGCTAAGAAGTCACCTGCCCCAGACGCTATGATATCGGAAATGAAGGCTATTTCGACACAGAGTATTGGTATCTAAGTTTACACCACAATGAATGTGGTGGTTGCAAGTTTGTCTGAGAAACTCGAGATTTCGAGGTGTGAACTGTTTAAAACCAAGAATGTGACCTGATAACTATGTGTTGTTGTTCTCTTGTTACAATTTACGTTGCTCTAGCTATACCCAACAAGTTCGGCAAGCTTGCAAACGTTAATAGGAACCACTAATCTAGATGGTATCTGAAGTTGGGCAGGGCCTACATCCTCTATGTTATAGTTTTGATTTGAGGCAGTTCCTTAGATCCATAATCAGAAGGCCGGAGATGCTGTTAATTAATTAATTAGAGGGACAGCTCAGATAAAATGAAAGTTGGGTTTTATGTTACTTTGGGGCTTGCTGGAAGTCAGAACAGTGAATTATAGAATCGTAAAATATTTTGAACAATATCGTGTTTGGTTCAGAGCACCTTGGATATTGTGTGTGTTTGTAATGTTGCCATATTGTGACCTCAATTACACTAGCTTAGCTATTTCACTAGCCTACACAAGAAAATTCATTTTTGCGGTCTATTGTTTCATTGAATAAACATATGTGTCACACACTCTTTTGAATCATGTATTGTAATATGTGGGTTGTTGCATCTGATATATCAGCTAACTGAAAGTTGGTTTTATGACAGTGAAGTATATAAATATTTGTAAATCAATTATAAGTAACATAATTATGTCACAAAAATACTTACTTCTTAATACAATGCCTTTCGATCTGAGCAAGGCTCGGCGCAAGCAAATACTGATCTGTAAAAAGTGCCTTTATTTTGAAAAAGCAAGAATCTTTCCGATTCAGAATTCACATATCCAGTTTATTTCATCTTCTGCTTAAGGTGGTTGGCATCTGATTTAAACCCGGGATGTCATAACCTACAATGCTATCATAGTGTAATCTAACACTTTATCACATACACGTTTTGTTTTCTTCTTTACTTTCCGATTTTGAATATACTGTATTGCACTGGTATTAAGAGTATCTAGTTGTCTACCTTGTTTGTATTCAAAGCTCATCATTTTATGTTGACTAAATTGTGCAAGCAATGCTGAGCTAGGAGGATAAGAGTCATTCTCTGTTCTAGCGACCTTCTGTAATTCTGTATAATATTGCTCTTTTGAGGCCATTCGATTTCATCTTTAGAGTTTGTGACTTATCATAATGTTTACAGATAAATTGAAGGCTAATATAAAATATATAAAAAAAAAGTCCCTACCCAAATATTTTGGAATTATAAAATTCCTACAATTAAGTTTATTATTCTATACAACTAATGTAATACAGAAGAGTTATATTTTTTGGGTAAATAAATAGTAAATAGTAAAACAATTGTTGTTGTTTTTCTGAACATTAGCCATATAACAGTAATAAACATCTGGTTGACTTAGGGATTTTCAAAATACCTATAATATCAAGGGTTGTACAACTTTGTACTATTTTTGTGTTGGTCAAGTGTGGATCATAGAAAAAGTTTTTTTAATCCAGCTTTCAAAGATTGAGAACATGATTCTTCTACTGAATTTGCAATCATAATTTATAATTTTGCAGCTCAGTGCAAAAAATTCCTTCAGGGCATTGTTGAACCTTTTTAACCATGTAAGAGTCATTAGCAGTCGGTTATGTCAAGCAGAGCTAAACGTAAACATCATACTCGTAAACAAATTGAGTTCTTAGAATATTTGAAGGAGCATGTAGTCTGCATTCTTTAAAATTTATGGCTGTTTTCAAATCATCACATTGCATACCATAATACTCTGATGAGAAGATATATATGGAGTGATTTAAATATATTTCACAATCATGTTCGATATTGTCAATTTATAATTTTATTAATACTAATTTAATTAAAGTACACATTACACAACACAATTTTTGCCAGACAGTGTGAAGCCAGGTTTTGGTAAAAGCTGAATGGAATTGGTAGCATTTTTTTTTACATTTGTTTTTGTATGTTCGACATTGGGGCCCATGTAATTAAAAGAAACTATGTAAATTTATTAAACTTTTGGTCCTGATAGCCTAGCAGTCAAAGTGTTTAATTCAACCATGTTGGTACCACAGATTACATTGAAATCCCATGCCGCCCACTTCATCCCGAGTGTAATAAATTGGGTGGGCAATTTCGAACTGGAAAGAGTCTGCTCCTTTTCAAAAATATTAACTCCTTACATCATAGGGGTGCTTTTCAGGGCCTTTGTTCGCAGCGAATGACATCAAATGAGTGTATTATAAAAAATATTATAGGACGTACTGTTACTGTATATCCTCGCCTATAAGCCAAGTTTAAAACTAAAAAAAGTTGCCAAACTAAGGAGTCTGCTTATACGTGCAAAACTCTGATGCACTAAAATATCTTATACACATATAACTCTAATCACACTCAAACGAAATGAAATTATTTTAACTCAATTCCAACTGTCACAACTCATATGGTGTGTTATGATTTATAGAGTCGGCTTATATGTGAATTTTTATATATTCCCCGTCTTACGGGCCTGTTCTTAGGGGGCGGCTTATATGTGAGAATATGCGTTTATTAATAGCTTTCTGAGGAGAAACAATTGTTTTGACTTGCTGATCACAAAGTCCCTACAGAAGTTTTTATTAAGGCTTGTGGTGATGTAGTATTGTTATTCATTTGCATTTTAGATTTGGTATAACTGCTGTATTGCGTTTAGCGAAATTGCAGGAAACTTGCTTCACTTTGCCCTACTTTGAATAGCTGATTACTCTGTAAACAGATTTTTAACACACTTCAATTTTTGTTTTTACTAAGAAAAGTTGAATTTCAAATAGTCGGTTTCATGAAGTACAACTTCTTTAGATATTGCTAACTTGTTGTTCGACGCGATAAACAAACAGCTTAATTCTGTATAGAGAGATATTTGCTTGTCCCTCTTCCCTTCCAAAACCATTGAAAAAATTTATAGTGTTATCAACGTTATTTTTATATGCATGCAAATCTGTGGTTTCCCGCATGAATTTTGTTAAAACGAGTATCAGCAATCACCTCAGTTGTGATATAAGTTATGCATGTGTACAGCTCAAAACTACACAACACCAACCATGGATCATATGACTTGCGAAAAGATGTATCAGCAAATTTCTTATTCATGCAGGTATCTATGACCCACAGTCTTCTTTTATGTGATAACATTTTTCTGACCCACTCATTAATAAGATTAAAAAAGGTTGGCCATATCTAGGTTATGCTATTGTCCAGCCTTCTATCTTATCCCAATTATGTAGGCCTTCCTGGTAAGTAAACTAAGTATACACCAACATATTGGGTATGGGCTAATTGAACTATTTATATCTTTTATAATTTTCTACATTTTTTTTGTGTTGCCATGCCTTTGAAGCTGTCAAGACTAGAATATCTGAAAAAAAAACTTGGAATAATAAATATGTATCAAAATGTCATGATTGCAATTGTTAATTATTTTTGATTTAAGTTTGCATGGATATTTCTATAAATTCAAATTACACGTTTGAAGTAATAATCTTCGTCCAATTGTGTATATCGATGTATTATTCTATGCTTAGAGGTAATTTCCCATGGGTGTTTTCATATTGTGGTTTTCTTTGTAATTATATTTCAGCAAACATATGTTATGTCACATGCTTCCATAGTCCTCTTATTAATAATAATGAAAACCATGTTGTAGAATATTACAAAATTCATTCATTCTTGGATTGTGATGCTAATTAACTCCCAAAGCATGAAGAACACTGTATTAAATAACTACGCTAAATTTTCAACCTTCTTAATGAAGAATTTAGTTTTTTTTTTATTTTCAAATAAGACTTTTCACAGTGGGTATGAATGGTACTAAATAAGGCCTTTTCATTAAAGGGCTACACCTAACTATACTGGCATAGCAGGTTAAAATTTTGGGTTCAAATACCCTGTCCACTTCACCCAGTGTGTGATAAATTGGGTAGGCAATGCCGTACCAAATGGATTCCTGTCATTCCACTAAAGTAGCTTTTCGTCAGTGGTAGCTGCCTTGTTCGGAGTAAAATGTGTATAAATGTGTCACATAAAAAAATGAAAATTTAACACCTAATGGGTGAAGTCATGGCAAGGTGTGATTGTATTTTATCTTGTCACTTGTAACATGTTTTTAGACATTGATAGGATGTTATCTTCGGCAGCATCTGTCTGACAATAATTTACACAGTTTTGGTTCCAATTCTCCTTGCATCACGTAATGCTGTTGCGGAATATTAATAATAAATCAAACTGGGCTATTTATATATAATATATTACATATCGAATGTTCGATGATAGTGTTTTGAAAAAAAAAATGCATAATTAACAAAATATGATTGTTTGTACAGCTAAAACTATTCCAATGGCATTGCATAGAGTTGAATAGAGTGAACCCCAGCCATATTACCAACTTTCGCATCTAGCTGGGCCCAGAAAAAAAAAATAGTTTTTTCAGCCTTTAGCCTTACTGGTACAGTGATTAATAAGGCACCGTGCAAGACAACAGAATATTTAATAACAGGGGGACAGGAAAAAAAAATTTATAGATTTTCACCCATGGTGTGTGCTTTTTAAACAAACTTTCGGATTCGGAGTTAATGCTTTATGAGGAAAAAAAAAATTTGCATGCAATTTGCATTGCAAAGGGCCGCACTTGAATGGCTTGGCGGGCCGGGTTGTGGCCCGCGGGCCGCCTGTTGCACACCCTGCACTAACCCAATTTTACTCAAGATTACAGCGATGTACTTTTTTAACATTTGATCTTAAAATATTTTATTAGTCGGTTTTCACACAATGTTAATTCTTACACAGTAGTTGTTTTTCTGTGTGCTCTGCATTACTGCGTATACAATACTTCTGTCATAATTGTAAATGCATCAATTACATTAATGATACCTTTTCTTTTAATTGCATAGTTCACCAATACCAAGGTGTTCTTTCTCTCATTATGAAAATAGAATGCATTGTTTTGCAAATGTGTGTTATCAAAAGTTGTCGAGATACTTGGTGGCCTTGTTATTCAGATACTGACCACCCACAGTGATTCACAATTTATAATTTGGAATCTTTCCATTTTATATTCTTAAGCTATGATTATTTGATTTGAAATTCTTTAGGTTTTCTGTTAATAACAATATGTAAATTTTAAAAAGGAAAGTGAAGGAAAGCATAGTGATAAATTTGGCATACTATTCTATTCATGTTTTCAGTCGGAGGTTAGATTTTGGTTAGTCCAGTGAAAACCCCACTATATATATAATATATATATATATATATGTACAGGGTCTTCATATAGTCCTGTTTTGAATTAGATAAAAACAACTTTGATGTGCTTTGTGCATCAAATGATGGGCATATAAAGGTGTATTAAATGATGTTGAAAAAACTCAAATAGACTTGGTGCGATATATTGAGAACTGACTTCATAACATACTTTTGAAATTGTAAGAGAGTTTATGAACACCTTTTATAACATGAACAATAACAAACAACTTAAGCTGAACCAAAGAAAAGACAAATGCACTAGAAATAGTAATGAAAATAGTTTTTTTATTTCTCAATTTTTCTGAAGCATTGTGAAAAATCCATTTATTTCTAAACGTTTTCTCACTTTAGGATATCAAAATTAAAAAATAATCAGCAGCAACTCGAAATGTTTATAAAGTGCTATTCACAGCCGACTTGAAGCATGAATAATAAATGACTACGATGAAATTTGCAATTTCTTTGCTGAGTTTTCATTCTGCAAATTTCTCTTTTTGACATCTTCGTTTTATCTCTATTGTTTGTTTTTCACTCAAGAGATGAAACATTGCCGATAATTAAAACCTATATTTTGCTGGACGTAATGTAATGTAAAAGGGTTTCTTCTTAGTGCTGATATAATTAACAACACAAATATATGTTTAATGCAGTATACAGATAATTTGTTATGGTTGCAATTTTGCACTATCAAAATAATCAGGAATATTAAATCATATCTTTTTAAAACCTGATCAATAAATATGCGGTTACAAGTAGGCTGATAAAGAATAATACATTTTAAATAAAAATGTTTTCAGCTATTGAATCAAGCTATACTAAGATATATATAAAGAGGGAACAATCCTTTGATATTTTTTTTTTAGAAAATTCACATAATATGCATATATGCATTCCCTGAGCTTACACTAAGAATAGCTTTTGTATATTATCGTGCTATATTTTTGTTTTAATACTTTATTTAATCAATATTTTTATTCATTAGCCGTACAAGAGGAAAGGCAAAAAAACAAAGAATCCGAAGGAAATGAAAATGCAAATCCTAATGATGAAATGCCAGTCGACAAAATTTTGGAGGCAGAAATTGTGTCCGAACCTAAAATGGAACAAGTTGTGGATTTCGCTCAAGCACAAGAGGTAAAGTCATATACTGAGTCCGGTCTTCCCGAACTGGGTGAACTTCTAGTGCGAAACATAAATCTAACGATTTCGAGAAAATACGTAGGATCATAGAAGCAGTACGCTTGCGTTAACAATGACGAATAATTCAGTGATGTTAATCTGAATAAATGTGTGTTTGTTTTTGTTCTCGAGAGGGCCCACTATGTCCGAGTTAAGAATTAACTGTGTCCATAAAAGTCCATCAGCTTTCTTTGCCAAATCGGAATCCAGTGGAGGTATATGTAAAAAAGAAAAAAGTAATTTTAATCTCAAAATAATAAACTTTGAATATTCATCATCTGTTTTTCATTATATTGAATTCTTAGGACATTAGTTTCAAACCATTTTGGATACATTCCTCCCTTTGCCTATTTTGAAACTCTCTTCATTCTTTACACATTCCGGCTTTTGTACAGTTTTAGTAGTTGTGCTTAAAGCTGTTTCACAATAATATAGAGTGTCCATAAAGAAAATTCTATCCTGGTGAAGATTTTCTTCCCAGTTGGGAAACATTGTTATAAAATATATTTAGAATAGCCTTACTATTGGTACAAAAATATACAACAATAGTGAACGTTTTCATCTAATTTGTTTCGTTCACTTTTGTCTAATCTGGTTAACTGGAATTAAATCCTGTGGCTGTAAAATCTTTGTTCATTAAATCAATCTTGATTCAATTTAGTCTGTCTTAGGGAAATTCTGATTTAAACCACCAATGTCCAAATAATTTAGTTAAAATAAAATTTGAAATTGAAGGTAATTGGGAAAATGAGGTGCTAGATTTCATTTGACACAATAGTTTGTTACGTCTTGACATTTATTTTTGGACAATCCATCTAATCATAATGAGATTTAGGAAATTTGGTAATTCCTAGACATGATGGCTTAGTGGTTGAGAGATTAGAGACTTAGATTCGTTGACATAGCAAGTAATATGTCTTGTGTTTAATTAAATTACATGCCCACCTGACACCACCTCAACCAGATAGTAGTCTCTAAGTTCTTACATTTCATCAGTAAATATGTGATATACAGAGCTTTATTCGAAGCTAAAGCCATAGGCATTGTATAAAATAAAAGACTGTAAAGTTCGCTAAGTCCAATATGTAACTAGGATCAATTAGCCTTTTTCTAATCAAATTTTTGAATGTTTTGTTATTTGATTGGAGATTCTTTTCTATGGTAAATAACAAATGTTTTAATTGTATTTCAAGCATACTCGGACATCTAAATAGAGCCAGTAATTGAAAATGACATAGCAAGTTTACTTTACAACAACTTCAAATGAATTTTGAAAGTACAATCCTTGACTTTTTTATGAGTATTTGCTCAAAGCATGGTATTTTACTCATGAGTTAAAGAGACTAACTCTGAGCAAAGTTACGGGCAGCCAGTAAAATGACCAAAGCTACTTAGAGCATAGTGAATTTTTAATTCACACTTATAAATGCTGGTTAATGCAAGACTGGAAGCATTTCTGGGTAACATAGTCAGAAACTCATCCAAGTTGGTAGTATCCTTCATAATAACTAAAGTTCTCGGAAAAAAAACTTGTACCTAAAAATGACCCTATTTTTAGCATGGTCATGAAGCATTGACTGAGAGCATAAGTATTTTATATATTACCCGACTTCCCTCCCCAACTTATTACACCCTGAGTGAGATGGAGGGCATGGGATTTGATCTGTGACCACTAGGCAGGCCGCTGCTCCCACAATTGGTTGTTAGTCAATAACTTGCACTGGTCAAATTTTATTATAATATCAAATTGTTTCAGCATATAGTCACAGATAATATTGTAGTACATAATAGTCACAAAAACATTGGAGTCACGAATGTTTCATGCTGAGAATAACTAGCTGCTTACCGGTATTAGAAGATTATGCAAACAATTTTTTAAATAGTTTGAATAGATTTTGTTCGCTTGATTTCAATTATTATAATCTATAAATAACCACAATTATTCTAAGTCATATGGTTCCATCTGCTTGTTTATTATATGGATTAAAATATTGATCATAATATATTTTTCTCGTTAGCAAGCGGATCCTGTCTCAAACATCTGTAAAGCTGCAGATCGTCAATTATTTACTCTTGTGGAGTGGGCTAAAAGAATTCCTCACTTTCCTACTCTACCACTTGATGATCAAGTCATCTTGCTTCGTGCTGGTAAGTAACTTTCATAGTCCATAGTCTGAAACTTGTGGACACTAATTACATGTTGAGGGATTATTGGACTTCTTGTCACCCTCCATGTGGTTGGTTGGTGTTAATATATCTACTGATCAGATACGCCTCTGCCATATAAGCAGGACTGGTGAATGAAAACCAGGAAGCTATTGGGTTTTGTTGGAGCTGGTGTGAAGCTTGTCATATTAAATGGAATGGGAATTAACAGAAATTTTAGTGACTTCAACCAATCTAACTCCACCTATCTAATTGTTCTTTCATATTTATAATTTTCTAATACTAAATATCAAAATCTGTCCTTTCCAGCCTAATAATCCTAATAATAATGAAATTTAATTATAGAATTTGAGACCCTTATATCATGGTTTTGAGCTCCACTGCTGCAAAACTTTGCTGAGTTGATGATTTTTTATGAGAGCTGTCATAGTAAAAAACATCAATAGCTTTGGATCTAGCATCCAATTTTCTAATCCAGCTTCATGGCCTTGCCTATTAGTCCATCAATCTAAACTTGTAAATAGACGATAAGTCGTGGCCATATATGTTCAATCTGTCTTTTTAACTTTTTCTCTGGTGATGTAAATATGAATAAATCATATCTCATTGGGAACTCTATGTATCATTATTGTGAAATTTGAGCATGATTTCAAAACTTCCTACCCAAAGTACAACTGACATACAGCCTTATTAATTTTAGTGGAGAATGAAATTGGAAAAACCGCCAAGTGCAATATAGTACATACTTCACTCGACTAAGAATTATTTCCAATAATTAACAATTCCAGTCTTAGAAATATTATCTCTTTACATATCAGTGGCGGCATGTACAGGGCCTTGTTTAGAGTGAAGACAAGGAAGCTTTGGTATTGAGTGAAATCAAGTAAATACTTCACCCAATTAATTAACGATTCCGGTCTATTAAAAGTCATTTCTCCTTACATATCGGAGGATGTCCGCTCCGGTCCAGAGTGAAGGCAGGGAAGTGTTATAAAAAAAATATAAAATAAACGCCATGCATAAATTCTGAAATTAAAATGCACTATACAAATTTGTAATTTTTATTCTTTATTTCTATCTATTTACATTCATCAGTATGATTTTAAATTTGTTATCACTAGGTTGGAACGAACTTCTCATCGCATCATTCAGCCACCGATCAATCAAAGTAAAAGACAGCATACTATTGGCAAGCGGGCTTCACGTCCATCGACATAGTGCCCATCAGGCAGGAGTTGGTCCGATCTTTGACAGAGTACTTACAGAACTCGTGTCGAAGATGCGAGACATGATGATGGATAAAACAGAATTGGGTTGCCTTCGTGCGATCGTTCTTTTTAATCCAGGCAAGACAGCTCAAATAAAAATTTATTGACAGTAGGGGCAGTGTGATTCAGCATGGTCTGTGGGCTAGGGAATTTTTGAGAGTTCAAGTTTTCATTGGGCCTACAGTAGCCTATATTCCAATGAAAATGTATGGTTGAAATTTACACTTTATCTGCTAATGTAAATTAACAAGTTGATAAATAGACACAAGGATTAGTTTGGTCCTTAACACTTCTACTACCGTATTGTTCGTATATATAAAAAAAAAGCATCTTTATGATTACCGAAATTTTTATCGAAGGTTGTATGGGCCTAAGATTTCTTTCGACACTGAAAATGGGCCACAGGAGAATAATGGTTGAGAATCAGGGGCTTAATAAATCAGTAATTGTCAACCTCCAATTCCGCTTTTTTCATCTATCTTAAAACATATTTAAAACAAAAAGATTTATGTTTAATCCACAACTATTAAACCAAACAGTATTTTAATGTTGTGTTTTCGCATGTGTAATTGCATCAATTTTACAATTTTTGGTGGTAGGTAGTGTATATGGAAGCAAAAAACCATTTCAAGTATTTTTTTCTTATTGCGTGTCATTTTAGCATGCCAAATAAAACTGCAATTTTGAACGACCTAAATAACAGAGACAGTAATTTTAAACAGGAGTCAATTTTTTGCCTTGTATTTTCTAAATAGTAATCAAAGGGGGATTATTTTTATGATATTGACTTTATAGTAGATGACATGCGAGATAACATTGATAATTTCTTGTGGATTTCATTTTTATTCATTCATTTTAATTTTTTGCAGATGTGAAAAATCTTTCTGATTCCTCGCATATTGAATCGTTACGTGAGAAGGTGTATGCATCCCTGGAGGCATATTGTCGTTCAAAATATCCTGAACAGCCAGGACGTTTTGCAAAACTTCTTTTGCGACTCCCAGCACTACGTTCCATTGGCCTGAAGTGCCTTGAACATCTGTTCTTCTTCAAGCTGATTGGGGATACGCCCATTGATAAATTTCTCATGGACATGCTAGTTGAGTCACCAACACCTACCCAGTACCCAGCTCAGCAAGGAGATGGAGTGAATGGTAATATGACATTGTCACCCAATAACCTATCAAGCGCAAACACTTGAAGGTATCGAAGGTTATCGATGACTACAGTTTTATAATAATGAAACCGAGCGATTTTGAGAGTGAAATGTTGTTTTTGCTCTTAACCTGTTGTCATGAGACAATTGCTTAATTCAGTGTTTTGATAATTGATGAACGCTGGTTATCGCAGTCAAAGTCGTCGTGAATATTATTTTCATGGAAACATAAGAATTCAATAAGGATATTTTACACTACTTGCAGGTGAAATAATCTTGATACCATTGCAGGTCTGTAATTTCCATTTGTACCATTGAGAGTTTCAATTTGATTACAATTTTATTTTTATGTGCGAATATGTAGAAATTGTTTTTTGTTATACCTCAAAAATATCGTCCTCAGTCCTTACTTTAGAATCATACATGAAGAAATTCCAACTTTGCTGTCAATGACATTACAAATAGATCAGAAATATTTCAAAATTATCCATCCTATCGATGCATGATTTTCATTAAACCATACCTACAGGCTACAATGAAATTTTGCATCATGATCAACAAAGTCTAAAAAAAGTAATTGATTCGTGGCATTGAAAAGCTTATTTTGTTGAGGTTTTACAGAACAAAATGGATTGCGTAGGGCCCAGTTATGGTAGAGATACGGATAATAAGCAAATATTAAGATTTTGAAACAGATGCAAACGAATTCGTCCTTAAAATTTATTACATTTTGACTAAGTACAAAACTACGATAAATCAACTCTACCCTACAAGTCTTGCTTGAATAGAATAAACAAGTTGATCTGCACATGATTATAAATAACTTTTGTTTAAATTCAATAATTTACTACTAGAATTAATCTAGTCCAGGCCTAGCGAATGGCCCACAGCGTCCAAATGCTAGTTATGAGTGTACTTTCATGATTGTAATTCTTTAAAAATCCCTTTCGCGAGTTTTTTCAGCATATGACATTCTTTTAAGTAAAACTTGACTTCATTGAATAGTCAGTCGTAGTATCGGTTCTTTGCGAATGGGTTTGCTTCTCTGATTTTGTAATTAGTTTTATCTTTTTCACAAGCATAACCAGCAGGATGATTGTAACTCTATCTCCTTACGTTACAACCCTAATAAAAAGAGAAATGTTTTACACTATATCATCCACGCTCAAACATATCGACTACAAATATATTGATTTTCTTATTTGAACTAAGGTTTCAACAAGTTTGTCGCAAATGAAAAAGATAATATATTTTCAGGATTTTTGTCTAAAAAAAATTCAGAAAATATGTGAATTACCAAAATATATACTGGTAGGTTATTGATCTTTGTAAAAAAATGCAGGTTGGAATTTGAGTGGACAACATTTTTTGAAAGTGATTTAAGTGTAGTATGTCAATTTTGCAACAAAATGCATTAAAATAAGAAGTGCATTTGATCAATATGTGGCTGAACCAATTTTTGAAAAAGCAAGAATCGATTCTATATTGTCATTCTTTGTCTATGAATCGTCATAAATAATCTTGGACAAGCAATACATCAAACTTTTTTCATCCACATAAAAAAGATTTCAGAATCCTGCCTTTTTGTTGTTGGTGGACTTCAAGGATTTGAAGAAATTTATCCATGAGAATCATGTGTAGCATGTTATGTTTTGGTCGAGGATCTGTGATATAAACATGTTAAAATAAGGCCTTTCCATTGAATTAGATAATTGTTGGTCAAAGTGCGTTCTGTAATTGTGATTTATTAATTATCATACAATTTTACTTGTCATTAAAACATTACGGCTTGAAAATTGAAAGAAGTTACAGAAAGATATGTTTCCTCTCTCACCGCTGGTTCTTATTTGATCATCACAGCTTATATTTTTGAAAACATGAACCTTTTCTTTTAAAACTATGTTTCCAGTCATTTCTTTTAATGTTAATGGCATTACTATCATATATAATTATCTATCAAATTATGAACACTTTTGGGGTAATCAAATCGTAATTTTTCATCCATAATTAAATTGTAATTTGTGCAATAAAATCATGGAAGCATGTGGTTACATCGAAAAAAATTGTTTTCTCATACGTTTATAGGTATTTGAGAATCATTATTAGGTTTTTTTTTCTGATGGGTAATCCCCGTAAAAAAATTCAAAGCCATACTTGAATAGAGTTTGATTAGAGCGTTTTAAAAAAAAACTATAAAAATTTTAAATTTCAATTTAATCTTCTGTTTATAATAATAATGTATGTCGTTTCTCATTTGTTTTCTATTATTTTGAGATAGCATTTTGATTTGAAAAAACTCCATCTGCGAGAGGACTTTGTTTTTATCTTATACCATTGTTGTCCAAGAAATGTTTACGTCAATTGTTGTCCATTTTTTAATTTGCTTAAAAAGAACGTTATTAAAAAAAAGTTGATTGATATGGGGTCTAACTTTTTACTTTAGCTTTTGATCGTTTTCCATCTCAGACGATCTCATTTGTACAAAAAAATTTTAGCAAGTTTTTGTTATGTAACTTATGTTTCACTATTGAAGTTTGAAATTAAATATCGAATCTAAGTGTGACGAGTTTACCTCTTTGCTGTGGACTGTTGTGTTGTATTTTGAATCAAGAGGGCATGAGATTGTGGGTGCGGACACTGCGAACATCCAGAGCGTAATGACGTTGGTCAGTGTTATTACACAATATCCCAATATTTAGCCCGAATGTGTCGCCTGCACCAAACACTAAGATTTTGCTATGCGGTCCGTCAGCTTACTTACGGTAAGTCAACTCGGCATAGCAGCGATAATTATTACTCCACCTTAGTTCTCGTTCTGATTGAACAAAAATTTAGTAACCCAAACGCTGATCGACAAATGCGCCATTGTCGTCGTGTGGACGACTAACCTTAGCAAATGGGATCAATCGATGTCGGTTTGGCGTAGTCTTGGTTTATGCGTAGCTTTCCAGTTACCTGTGCTGCCTGCCCTTTTAATTATTTGTATTACCGTACGAGATTTTTTCTAGCCTCCGCGACGTTGAGTCGTATTTTGCTTACTGCGAAAAAAAACGGGGAAGCATCCATGTCTATAGATCTGTAACGTTTATTTGTTTAGGTATTTACAAATCCATAATCAAATTGACAGAAAAACGAATCTTGAAAACTGGTGTTTTTGTTTTCAATTGATTCGTATCCCAAATACCGAACGAAATACTGATGGATCGATTGATGCTGTCCAACTGTCTTCACTGATATGGTTATAAATCAGTGGTTCGCAAACTTTTTAATATCGGCACCCCTAATTTGAATTGCAATAAACATAATACCCCTTTCACAAAATAAAATTGTCAGCACACAATTTATCAAGTTTAATAACAACATCAAGAACATAAGAATCCATGAACACAAGAACAATGTCCAGATTTAATCTCAATAAGAAGGGTGGCACTGTTTCTGTGAAGTCAAACGAAAAATTAATGAAATTGATAAAATAGTGAACGTCTGAATGAAGGGTGTTAAATTATCCTATTGGGGGTAACTAATCACCGGATAATCACCCCAATAACCGGATTCAATCTCAGTAGAAAGGCTGGCACGAAACATGAGTTCAGATTGTGCGCCATCTTGTTGCACATACTTCAGGAGGTTCCTTTAAGACTTTGTCTGATAGATCGGAATTGAAGTCAATCTTCAGAATTCGGTGTCAAAATTTTTTATCTCACTCTTTATGTCCTTCAAAACCTTCTTAAGATATTTTGACGACGAAGTATCTTTTCAATTTGAAAATACAGCATACATCTGGTACCTTTTTCAAACAAACTTGAATTGGCAGAGTTCAGAAAAGTACATTTTTGGTGAAATAATTTAAACAAAGTTTTTATTATGTAACAACCACTTTTACAAAAATTTGATCGACTCGTGCTAATATTCAGAAAAAAATGTTTGGTGAAAAAAATGTGAATTGTTGCAATGGCTTGAAACTTATTGTTCTCGTGTAATTTATTGTAACTTCAAATTTGGCGCATATGCCGACAGTTTGAATTCATATTTCAAGGGATTAGGTTTACAGTAGAGGACGGCACTAGAAACTGTGGGAAAATTTCTCTTCGCGGTCGATTGAAAACTAATAAAAAGCATCACACAAGCGTTCTATTTTATACTTGTAAATTTGTTTGAAATGTTTTGACGCATATGTTTTCATTTTTCTCAATTTCAAATATATTTTTCGTGGTGACCTTACATTTAAACCCATACATTTGCACCCGTATATCCGCGGGTTCAATCTATATGCGGGTGCTCAAATCCACAGATTAGGGTTAGTATGGGTTCAAATATCCTTAAAAACAATTTCCATAGGCGCAATAGTATGTAGGTGCAATTGTCGTGGGTTCAAATGTACGTGGGTTCAAATGTAATGGAACCGATTTTTCGTTAAATCTGTAATCGGCACTGTTGAATAAATCGAGATCACGCAATAAAGTCTGGATATGTATCGAACTGGTTCAAATTTGCGAATAATCCAGACGAAAATTGATACAAACCAATTGAACATACTAAAATTTCGATTGGTACCGGTATGTTACCATTTACAAACATTTTTGAGCATTTTACGGATATGGGTATATGTTGTGTGATTACAAATAACAATGTCTTGAAATGTGGAATAAATTAAGGATTTTAATTATACAACGTACTTAATCTCTCAGGGAGATACCTTAGTGAATCGATCACCTCTCCCATACACTTTCTTTACATGCTGCATGTGAGAAATCACATACAATGATCAGAGCTACCACACAGACAAGTATGTCAGCTATAAAGCAGTAAACTCCAACCACATACTGTTAACATGTTTTTTTGACGCTGGCGTGTGTGATTGATATGGTTTTCAATTAATTTTTCAGATTCTAGCTATTGTTGTGTATGTGGTATTTCGCAGCGCCATGTTTACCATATCTGTCGAAATTTCTGAAATTTTTATTTTAACACCTTACACACGCGAGACACGGATGATTAAACAAGGTCCCACCCACCAACAGGCGAGTATTGTCTCGCGAGTTTGTCGACATATCGGCGGTGAATAATACAGAAGGATATCTAGCTCAGGTCTCGCAAAATATGTTTTATGGCCTGTCGGCAAGAGCCATTCATTGATCAGCGTATTATGAGTATTCAGAGTCTTCGCTCAGTCCTTTTAGTTCACACATTGTAACCAAATCTGTGTGGATTCGCGCATTCTTTGAAAATAAGTTGTAGCGTGCTATGTAGCCTGGGGGGTGTTGAATATCGCGCAACCACTGGCTCGCACGTCGAGCAATGAATTATATTCATACGTGTTTGCAAAGAGAAGTAGCAGTAAAGTGTCAATAAACAAACTAATAATAGCGACCTAGTGAGTTTGTAGATATCTAGGTACTTCGGTTACTTACAGCTAGATTTCTAGTATAGAATTCAGTTTATGTTTTTTCATATGTTATACAAGGTAGTACATTATTAGGATTCAGAAATAGTGTGATTATTATAAGTCGGTATTGGATCGATTTTTGTTGCACATATGAAGACTGAGCTCTTAAACTACTTGGGCAATTGATTTGGAAATTTCTGTGATCAATTTTGTATTGTAAAATATAGGTATTCACCTGGTTGCTTGATCCAGCATTTTCCTTGAAGTTCATTTTTTACTCACAATCGTTAGCCTTTCAGGGATTTGGAATTAGCGTCAATTCTGTTTTGTCAAATCGTTAATTTTGACCAACAAAGTCTACACGTTCGTTGCCGTGGCCAACACTTCACCAGCCAATTTATTACCAGCTGTTCCCAATACCGCTTTACCTTCGTCGATATAATCCTTTGCGCTCGAATGCACAATTGATTCACACACAGGTCGGCTTGGCTTAGTCACTTTGATTCGAGTCAAGTCTAGCGCACGAACGATCATATTGTCCTTATGCAATATATATTAAAATATGGGTTGCCAGGACATCATAAATACTATTATGTGGAATTGTTCAGAGTCATAATTCGAAAGCAGAAAGATGATGACAGAATTGCTGCAAGTTAACGCTTGAGTACATAGCTGTATATAAATTTATCGTCGGTGAGAGAATCGTCGGTGACTGTTAGTTGCCGGCGCGCATACCAAGCTGTTTGCAGTGTCTTCCTGAGTGTTGCTACGGAAATGGAGAGTATCATGTCAAGTGATTGAACACAATATAGCCTGCTACATGGACTGACAACATTAAATATTGCCGAATATTTTCTTTTTTAATTTTCTTTTCGCACACTAAAAGGCGAATTTTTGTAACGTTTCATCTGTCTAAATCAATTCGGACTTTCAACTATGGCGAAGAAAATATCTGTACAAAATCATATCTGAAGTCTGAGGTTAGTTAGAAGAAACGTTGCAAAATGAAAATTTAGAAATTAGTACCGTATCCGGTCAGTACATGCATACGTATCCAATATTACTAAGGTAGGAATAATGGAACTGTAGTTAGGTGCACATTGCTATGATCAATCCTTTGGTTTCGTTACACTGTTTACTTATAATGTTCTATGTATCGGAAATAGTTATCGTTATTGATTAACTTGAATAATATGGCTTGTAATATTACACATGTATATATGTCCAAGTTGTTGTTACAATTAAGCGACTGTTATTCACACGAGTTATCGGCATACTCAGCTTTGCTAATCGCTATGCTTCTTTTTCAACTACTATTCGTATCGCTTGTTGTCATGTGAACCTAGGTAGAAAGGCGTAGCCTGAGTTATATTTTTAATATAAATACTTGCATGTTTTTATTTCAATTCGGATACAGATCTAGAAAATTCTAGTCATGAGGAATAAATTTCCAGAAAAATTATTTTCATCAAGTATTCAATGCGCTACAAAAAGAATTTTTGATTGTCTTATAGACATTGAAGATGAAGTATCTATGCAACGAATCGTGAGAGATTTTATTGTCAACGCTTGTTTGCCTAGAAGTCTGCTTCTTAGAGTCGTACGACTGCTTCTGATATACCTAGATAGAGGGTATAACGTATTTCCAATCAACGGAAGCAAGGGAGAGGTCGAAGAATCCGCGAGAACTAAAAGTCACGTTACGAACGGAGATGTAAACAATTTAGGCCGAAGACAACGGTCTGTGAAGATTATCAAAGCGCTGATTCATTGTATTTTATCCAGTTGGGGAGATAAACAATTATTGCCGCAATATTTTTTTCAAGATGACGGCGTTTCGAGTAGAACATTATCCTTACGGGGTCGACAAACAGTACTTGTGCATATAGTAGAATCATTTGTTTGCTGGTCGGATATTATGGGATCTGGTGAATTACAAAGTTGCGACGTGTGTGCTAATAGCGAAAAATGGCCTTGTCCTCCAAAAACCCTCAACTTACGTTCCGAACATGGTAATTGGAGTGGAACGAGAACAGCCATGGCTGCAATAAGCTCTATTATTAAATCTGAAACAACAAATAGTAGAATTTTTGAACCCGATCAAAGATGCTTCAAATGCAAGAGAAATACGACTAACACAACATATAAAATGACACCTCGTGATTCTAAACGACCAGTTATTAATATGGATATTGTTCTGATGGGTTCCATTCAAGACTGGGTAGTAGATGTTCTACTATTCGTTCTTCGGAATTCGTCGTCAAAAGGATTTGACATTGAAATTTCATCAATACGGTAATTCTATATTACTTCATAGTAATAAAGTAGCAGAGTAGCAGTTATCACTAATTTAATAATTTTTTCGCATATTTTAACAAACCCACCTGCCTAACTCTTTAATTACAATCAGCGACAGATGGTACATGATTATTGTGAAATTTTCATAACTACTTACTCCTTTACGAAATGCCTACTCGTTCTGATATACTTGTGCATTACACTCATGCCTGGTGGATGTTCTTAGGCTCGGGCGTATATTAAAATGACCGTGTTTGAGCTACCGGAGCTAATGTATCAGGCTATTTTATTGATAATTGGTAAACATCGAGCCATTGTTTTCTGTACAACAAAAATATTATTCAGTTCTATATTATATCAAACAAATTGCAAACTGTCAGTTAGTAACGAATTTGAACGCAGGTTCCTCTTTTATGCACGAACACAAGGCTAAATACTTGAGCTGAGATTATTTTATATGTAACTCTGAATTCTGATATAAAGCTCAAATTCTAAAATAATCCGGTTAGATTTAAAATCTCTTATTCATGTTAAAATAGACCTGAACCTTACAAAAACAAACCTAAAAAGAATTGCAAGTTTTAGTCAATCTGACATCTGAATTATCAATTTTTTCAAATTCCTAAGTTGACATCACTCATCTAATGTCATTTTGCTTCCAGATCTGAAGATGTAGATTTGTATAAATTGTGCGAAATCATTCGAAGTTTGAGGATGCCCCACAAAGTACAATCTTTGGAATTACGAATGAAAGATCCCAGATCCATCTTTACTGCATCGCACGTTTTTCGAACTTTAACTGGTTTGCAGTCCTTCAAATTTGCGCATCTCTGGCGACGAGCGACGCAAAGGACCGAACTTACAACACAAGAGGTATTTTAATATCGAAAGTAAAACTCCATAATGTTGGAAACTTTTGTCAAATTTTTTGTTTTAAATTGGGATACAAATCAATTAACATGATTTGAATGTAAAATGGCTGTTACGTTCCTGAATTTCATTAAGTTTATCGTAACATTTTCCGTGATATTTATTTTATATCTCTATCCAAGCTACACAGGCCGCAATAACTCATTTTTTAGTACTCCGATGTTTTGTTGAATATCTCAACAATTCTTTCAATTATATTTTCAGTGTATTCGACTAAGGGATGACATTTTGCAGCATTGGAAAGACCTGAGCAAAATAAGATTGGAGGGAATAGTTTTGTTCTCCGATTTTACGAGTACCAATCAAGCCTTAACTGCATTCCTTAATCCAAACATGCAGTATCTCGAATTTTCCTATGATAGCTTATCAGAACAAACCTTAGATTGGATCCTCCATTGGAATAAGAATTCGATAAGAAACCAAGACGGATGCCATCTCGAACAACAACAGAAATATCCTCGCATGGTTTGCAACAATATCCATACTATGAGATTTGACAACGAAGCACTGCTTAGCGCAAACGCAAATTCCTTCTCTAAATTCTTAGCCTTGTTGAAAAATTCTTGCCAATTCTTGAAAACATTGGAAATCAATCAATGTGGCTTTACCGAAAGCCAGGCAAAACAAACCCTATCTCAATTTCTGGATTTCGACAACAAGCAAACAGATTTATTCGAACCAAGCGACGCATATACGTTTAATTTGCCATTAGAGCACTTCACTTTCCGCGAAAGGAGATTAAGTGCGAAAGTTATATTAGACATGTTTACTTCACTTTGCGCGGCTAAAAGAAACCATCTTTCCAGTTTTGCGTATTTTGGTGTTTTAAGCCCCAAAAGAAGCGACGTGTTCTGGCAAGGCCAATCCCCCACAAAAAGCTTAGAGAGCTGGGTATGTCCATTTGAACTTTCTATGAATAAAATATCAAAACAACATCATTGTTCCCATGTATATTGCGACGTGTTTTGGGAGCCATGCGAAGACGACACACTCTAGGCAAGTTCTCACAATTTAAACTTCAATGATTATATCTATTTCCATGATTCTGTTTAATGTTTCTAATGCTGTACAGAGCTTACAACTAAAAAGAAAATATTTCATTGAATTGTGCTCATTTTCCATGTGTATTTATTCTAATTAGCGCCGATTAAATTTCATGTATTTTGCACTTATTATTACAATTGTACGTTATATTAAACCATACCCTATTTATCCAATTATTTATATGAATGTTGTAACTTTAATTTTTGTCCTGAGTATATATTTATAGTACAGATATTATATGTTTTGTTGAATTGTTGCCATTTACAATAATTGTTATAAAGTAATGTTATAATGATGTCATACAACTAATAAAATTGTTTATTCATTAATTTTTGGGCCTTGGTTTGAGATATGTCGCGTTGTGTATATGATTGCTAAGTGGATTAGATAGTGTGTCTTTATGTCGAGGTCGCCTAACTATCCTGGCTTGGTATCCTAAAAATATTACTTCGTGGAACGTCGTATTGAAATTTTATGTTCGTACGTTTTGACATTTATGTTCAAGTTTGATGGTAAGTTTTCGAGGGAAAACAATCACACTCGCTTAGAGGCAGCGCATAAAAGTGAGAGAAAAGCACTGGCATCTGTGGACTCAGATTAGAGCAGTTGTCTGGTTAGAACAAATTATACTTCCTTCACATCCACTAACGTGCTAATCTTTTTACTCCACCCACGCTGAACTTTTTATTCTCTCTAAACAGAGGTTTTTATTGCACAGATTATGCTAAAATGAATGGAAGCGAAATGCCAGAGAAAACGTTTCCTCTCGGTTATTCTTTCCATTGTTGCCATATTTCGATAACTGAGGAAAACTGTACCGTGGACAACGTAAAATTGTTTCGTGGGGCGAACGGGTCAACGAAACGAATATTCAGAAGATTCCTCTTGAAGAAGCCAGTAATTTCCCAAGATTCATCAAAGGATTCCCATTCATCAATTGATTCTCGATACTAAATTCTTTTTCTAATTCTGAATTTTTGAGACATTCCCATAAAACTGCTAAAAATTTATACAAACGGTGGCGTATCTATGGTGTGGCAGCCGTGGTTCGAGCCATAGGCGCCGTTTGGAAAGCAGCGCAAGGAAGGGCGAAAAGTTTATATATATCGTAAAATGTTGCAATATAATAATATCAATTCGGAGACAACTGAAACTCGTATTTTTAAGTAATTAATAATAATATATATACAGGTATCACAATTCAACAACAGTCAATAATAATCGCCAGTCAACGAACGATTAAGGGGGCCCATTTCAAAACTTCCCCATGGGTGCCATTTTACATAAATACGCTACTTCATAAATCTCACTTGCTACTTATTCGTAACTCTGTATCGCCCAATTAAGTAGGTGTCTTCTGGCGATTTCGTCCATCTTCAAATACTGAAAATTTGAAATCGACTGGTCCATTAATTGCAGAGGGAGACGATCACAACAAAATGGTCGCCCAATGACAAGGCTAACGGACAAGATTTTCAAACGATCCATATAGACACTTCGTGTCCATGTATACCGTGCATGTTTAACGTATACATCAATTGGATGATCTACTACCAGGGAATCGAAGTTTCATTGAATAATATAAAACATATTTGGCCACGTGGGGACGCTGCCGTATCACGTAAACAGCGCTGCGGAGAACAAGTAAAATAAAGTATTTTATTGTATTTTTTATGATTAGTGATTAATAATGTTGTAGTCTTTGTAGATGTACCTATCAACTGTGTTTTATATATTGAATAAATATATATAAAAAAAAAAAGTAAAGGACAATTAAAAAATTTTATTGTTGCCCAGAGCTCAACTTCATATGTTGTAAATTATTTCCTTTAACATCCATACAAAAAAGGTGTAATAGTACTAAACAATAGATTGTATAAATTCAAACTTGATTCATCAGAGTTATGTGGTTTCTGTAAATCTAATGTTGAAAGTACGAGCCTTTTTTTTTATCATTGTATAATTGTATAATAGTCACGTCAGCGACAAGCATCTCTTCGGGCGCTTTTCGGTTTCCGTTGCAATTAAAAAGTATTAGGGGGCACAAAATACAAAAGTAGAATATATCAACATTTCTATACTTTGCTGCCTTCATCTATTCACCTTTCAGTACTTTTTTCTCATGTTAGGGATTCAAATAGCGGAGGTCAGATGATAACGTTTATACATAGTGAAGTAAATGAGTTCACATATATAGGCGATGAACATCGTTTTTGGCAGTGACTTTGTGACCCGCGTAGCGTTCAATTTTCACAACCTTGTTTCCGATCATTCAGGCTCACAAAGATTCCTCATTTTTGATGATGCAGGAATTTTCTAAATTTTTGGTCGGGAGATTCTATTTACATTTACTCAAAGTATAAAGTTTTGTTGAACTATATTTCTAATTAATTCTAGACTGCAAATAAATTTGAAAATATATTTGTGAATTTATAAAATTTCTACGATGTTCTCATCTATAGCTGACGTAGGCAAACTACGACCCGCGGGTCAAATCCGGCCCGTTGGTTAATTCACTCTGGCACACCTCATGCAGTCACAACCAAACTGAAATCAAATTTTGAGGCTTCAGCTAAAAATATATCAAGGAATTTGTGGCGATTGCGGTTGAATTTAGTTTTGGCATGAGGCTTAGTGTTTTCTACTTTTGCTTTTGTAACACTGGAAATATTGTTCATAAAATGTGCTTTTTACGTCGCAATTACATGGTTCGCCAGTCTAGGTGGGCAAATGTTTGGCCCCTGGTCCAAACACCTTGCCCATCCCTGATCTATAGCAACACAATTGACTATTCTGAGCTTTATGGGTAAGTGTATTGAATTCAAAATATATTTTGATTCGAGTTTTTGTGTGTTTAAAAACCATGAACATATAGACTTGAGTCTCTTCTCCCAATTCTTCAAATTTGCAAAATAGTCCGCTCAACAGCATCACCTCCAGTAAGATACATTCTAACAAAATACCCCAGTGTGTTACAATCAGACAATATATTATTCTGCTAGGACGCTAGTTGAGAGCAATTTATCAACTGAGATACCACTGACTAACACATCTGCTTTTTGAAGTGATAAATTGAAAAAATATATTAAAATGGCAATCGATGTCACAACTCATTATATTGCTTTCTACATTTACAAAAGTTTCGTTACGGCTTATTTTTTATAATTTGCTTCGCCCCGTTGTTCCCTGGTAAGGTACTACATCAAAATCAAATATCAGCAGCCTGGAAAAATTATTCGTTTGTAACATAAATTTCCGCTGACGAATGAAAATGTTGAGGCGTCTTTCTATTAGATTTAGATATTTCTTATTTCCGATATGTACTAAATTGTCTCCGAATATTGGCATACAAATCCCAGTACGTTTTAAAAATGAATCATGCTGCATTTTACCCACTCTGGTGCCTCGAATGACCTCGGCACTGCGCAGTTGTTTCGGAGTCTGAGCATTATTTAGATGTAGTCGAAAAACCAGGTTCGTCAGGCCGCAGACATCCGAGTTGTTTCGTTAATTTACTTCTAAGAATCTATTTATAGTCTACGTGTAACTAAAACGAAGATCACACCCGGAACTTCCCTTGACAAAATTCCCCATCTAGTTTAAAATAATGGTATTTCAAATTAAAATCGTGCCGCAAGTACATGTATTGGCATAGATCGTAGGACACTGCGTATCAGTATAGGCAAAAATGGATAACCGTTAACTATAAGTAACTTACAAGTTTTTAAGTGGCGGAACAATATGTTTACCTGACTTATCACTCATTTTAATAAAATGTTGGTCATTACACTGCTGAAAGTTTATGATAGTTTTATAAACCCACCTATATTAATATTCTTTTGTTCAGAATTGTTTCGACTGAAATAACTGCTAAGCAAAACGCAAGGGTATTTGAGAAATATACGATATATAAATTTAGTTACATACAAATAAAACTTTTAAAATCAATTTGTGTTTTGAACCTGTGGCTTGAGTACGACGGAAACATCCATATACATTAATGTACGTGGCCCATCCCATATATATCAATGATTGCATTGCTATATATATGTGTAATAACTAATATCGATAAAGTGTATACTATCTTGCAGTGACTATTTTGTGAACAATCAACTGAGTCACAGCATGAAATGGAATCGTGTGATTCTGACAATACTGCAATTCTGACTTGGAGAGACTTGAGAGGGAATTTAAATATTGCTCCATCCATTTAAAAAATATCCTCAATAGCAAGGGGAGTAAAATAAGAAAGTATCACAGCATGAACTGTGAAGTGTGATTAAAAATACAAACACACGCGTGAGTGTGAAATCAAACGTTTGATATAAACTATCGTTCACGCTGGTGCGCTGCTTGGAATATTTCTGGAAGAGATTGTCGGTAGGTACAATAGGCATAATGTTATCTTCAAATGAAACGCAGTTTTTGCATAAGTTAAGCACACAAGATTATCCACATTATCAATGTCAATATACCACACCAAAAGGGTCGTATGTTAAATATGTATTTCAAGTTTACAATACTTTAAAAATATATTATTTTGTGCGCCTCCAAATCGCGTTTTTATGCGTTTATTCAGCCCTCAAAATATACAGATTCTATAGAGTGTCATCGAATACAGAAAAAGATCGATCATCCCCATTAGTGGATATGTACAGGAAATGTGTGACACACATTCTTGAGCAAAGTAACAGCTCAAGTTTTTTCTTCTTTTGTGCGGAAATAGACGGCCATTCCCACATGATTCATCCGAGGCATACGAAAACAGATTGTAAAATCTATTTGAACTGGTCTTTATAGATTATTCCCGTCAGATTGTATTTTTTTTATATATAGATGAGCGCGTTAGAGCGACCAATGAAAAATAATAGCCGCTACACTTCTCCAACTTTTATGACGTTGTTTGTTCGATACATGGTTCGTTTCAAAAAACACAACATAGTGAAGTCATTTAACAAATTCAAAATATTGTTGACTGGCACATTTATTGTGTATTATGTTCTATACAGGAAAGTAGCCAAACAAAGTGGTAGAATCATAAAAGTTCAAACTGGACTAGCGAATTGAAGTATTAATTTGCGAAATTCACTTGGCCGCTGTTTACGCATAACGTGAATACAATGTCATCGCAATCGTAGGAAGTGTTAATACCCGGGTGCTAACTAGCACATTTGGGAAAC